CTCTCTCTCTCTCTGTCTCTTTGGTCAAATTTAAAAATTAGTAACAATGATAATAACATATCAAATTAAATAAAGAAATGATTTTTTAAATTATTTATTTTTAGTTTGATCAGCGTGGGGGGGAATGAGAAAGCAAGCCACCAGGTCAAGGACTGAAACCATGGTCGGCTATGTGGGAGTCCAGTGCCCCAAACACCATGCCACCTGCTGGCCCACTGATTTTCTTATCATTTGTACTCCAGTTTCTTTATGACATATTTTCCATTTTCCCTTTTTGCACACTTCAGAACTATGAAAGCCCATGTTCATGTGGATTTTATTTGCTTTTAAATTCATGTACTTTACTTTCACAAATGTACTCTTATAAATGCTCTTTCTGGTACACAATATAGGAGACATTTTTTTCTTATTACTTTTTAGGCTGGGAATCTATATGTGAGACTGGAGAATTAACACCAAAGGAGGACCTTTATGAAGAACAGTCATCCCAGAAGATAATAGAAACACTTACAAGGTATGACTTTGAGTACTCCAATTTGAAAGAAGAGTGGAAATCTGAAGGCCATTTTGAGAGGCAGCTGGCAAATCAGAAGGTTTATTTCAAGGAAGAGACAATCACTTATGAAGAATCCCTTGTTGATGAAAGAGAGCGAAAATATAACAAATCCTGGGGAAGTTTCCATCAGAACACACTGCTTCATACACAACGGATAATCCTCAAAGAGGAGAAAGTACATAAACATGGCACATGTAAGAAAAGCTTTAAAAAAAAATTAGTGCCCATTAAGTCCAAGAGTGTCTATGCAGAGAAGAAATTTTTGAAATGTAATGACTGTGAAAAAGTCTTCAGCCAGAGTTCATCTCTTACCCTTCATCAAAGAATTCATACTGGAGAGAAACCCTATAAATGTGTAGAATGTGGAAAAGCCTTCAGCCAGAGATCAAATCTTGTTCAGCATCAGAGGATTCATACCGGAGAGAAACCCTATGAATGTAAGGAATGTAGGAAAGCCTTTAGTCAGAATGCACATCTAGTCCAACATCTGAGAGTTCATACTGGAGAAAAGCCTTATGAATGTAAGGTATGTAGGAAAGCATTCAGCCAGTTTGCCTACCTTGCCCAACATCAGAGAGTTCATACTGGAGAGAAACCCTATGAGTGCATTGAATGTGGGAAAGCTTTTAGCAATAGATCATCCATTGCTCAACACCAGAGAGTTCACACTGGAGAGAAACCTTATGAATGCAATGTCTGTGGGAAAGCATTTAGCCTTCGTGCATATCTTACTGTACATCAGAGAATACATACTGGAGAAAGACCCTATGAATGTAAGGAATGCGGGAAGGCCTTCAGTCAGAATTCACACCTTGCTCAGCATCAGAGAATTCATACTGGAGAAAAACCTTATAAATGTCAGGAATGTAGGAAAGCATTCAGCCAGATTGCCTATCTTGCTCAACATCAAAGAGTTCATACTGGAGAGAAACCCTATGAATGTATTAAATGTGGAAAAGCATTTAGCAATGACTCATCCCTTACTCAGCATCAAAGAGTTCATACTGGAGAGAAACCTTATGAATGTAATGTTTGTGGAAAGGCTTTTAGTTACTGTGGATCCCTTGCCCAACATCAGAGAATACATACTGGAGAAAGACCCTATGAATGTAAGGAATGCAAGAAAACCTTCAGGCAACATGCACATCTTGCTCATCATCAGAGAATTCACATTGGAGAGTCACTTTCCCCACCCAATCCAGTTAATCATCAAGTCTTATAGCTCCTATTTCCTAAATATTTCTGGAATTTATGCTCTTTTTTTCTATTTTAATATTGTCACCTACTCTAAAGTTCATCTTCCCTAGCTAACTGCTATATTATTATGACAGGTCTCCTTGTATCCATTTTTCCTACCCTTAAACCCATTTCCCACAACGTACCAAACTGATCTTTATAAAATATAAGAGTAGGGAACCAGCAGTTGGTGTAATGGCTATGTCGCTGGACTCCCACGTAGTCGACCGCGGTTCGAGTCCCAGACCCAGTGGCTTAAAACACGCCGGGCGCGTGTGCGTACGTGCCCAAGATCCTGAGAGGAGAATGGAAGAGAAGGGATTGCGACATGACCATCCCTCTTGGGGTATAAGAGTACACATATCATGGTCTCCTGTTACATTTCTTTTTCTTCTTTTTTTTTTTTTTTTTTTTTTGCTTTCTATTGTTCTTGGACTAACATCCACTACCTTTAAAATCATCTAATATGCTCTTCATTATTTAGCTGTTATATACATTCAGCTTTATTTTCTTCTAGTCTTTTCTGGGCAATAGACACTAACCAGGACTAAGAGCTTTGATTCTGGAATATCATATCTTTACACTTCAATGGCATTTTGTGACTTTGAGCAACTTGCTTGACTTACCTAAACCTCAAAGATTTCTTTTTTTTTTTTTAAGAGGTTTTTGCTATAGGGCGCATGCATTCACCAGAAAAACAGAAAGAGAGACAGAAAGCGGGAAATAACCTCCCAGGGAGGATGGCCATGCCACAATCCTTTCTCCTCCATTCTCCTCTCGGAATCTTGGGCACACACGCACACATGACTGGCGTGAGTTTAAGCCACCAGGTTCAGGACTCGAACCACGGTTGACTACATGGGAGTCCAGCGACATAGCCATTATGCTAACTGCTTGTCCCAGAGATTTCTTTAATTTTAAAAATGGAGACAAGGAAAGATACTGTATTATAGAAATCTGAGTATTAAATGAAGTAGTGTCTGTTATAGATTGATGATATTAAATGAGAAATTTGCATGTAAAATACTTCACACAATACATCAAATATAGCAGATATTTAATAAATAATAACAGCCAATGTGCATTGAGTACCTACTATGCCCCAGGTACTGTTCTATGTTCTCAACATATATTAATTCATTTACTTATCACAGCTAAAACAAGGTTCCTTAGTGGATAAAATAGAGCATTCCTGGAAAGTACCAATTGTAAATTGGAAAAAATAAAAAAATAAAGAAAAATTCCTGAAATTTTAGAACATAAGTGGGAATCTTTGTACTATAAGTGTGTGATTGACAACAGACATGGGTAGAACTGTAACACTTAAAACCCAATTTTAGGAAGTTTCTGAAGAGAATGAATTATGGAAATAATCTGTAAATGAGATTCACTGAGAGGAGGCAGAACATTTAGATCAGGAAAAGAATAGAGGGATCAGCAGATGGCCTAATGGCTATATTGATGGACTCCTATATAGTCGACCCCATTATGAGTCCTGGACATGGTGACTTAAAGTCACACTAGGCGCATGTACATGCGTATCCAAGATCCCAAGAGGAGAATGGAGGAGAAGGGATTGCAGTGTGGCCATACCCCCTGGGGGGTTGATCTCTTGCTTTCTGTCTTTCTGGCAAGCACATGCACCCTATAGCAAAAACCTCTCAAAAAATAAATAATAGAAACAATCACAATTATTTTATTAATTTTTAAAATTTTTTAAATTTAACTTTATTTATTTATTTTAACTTGACCAGAGAGGTACAGAAAGAGAGAGAAAAAGAGAAAGGAAGTCTTCAGGTCCAGAACTCAAACCATGGGCAGCCGTGTGGGAGTCCAGTGTCCTAAACCACCACGCCACCTGCTGGCCCCCACAATTAATTCTAAGAAAACCAATAAATACACAAATAAAAAGGCATCAGACCCAGGTAATTATATGGGTGAATCCAGGTAATTTTGAAAGCATGTAAATTGTTCTATACTGTAGAAAAATATAAAGTTTCTAAGTTTTTTATCCAGTGGTTGCAAAATTGAGGAAGGAAAACTAGATTTATATTAATATAGTAGTTCATTCATTCAGTGAATATTGAGTACCTGCTATTTGTCAAACACTGTTTTAAGCATTAGGAGACAATAATGAGCAATACAAAGACCACATTCTGTGGAATTCAATTCCAGGGGCTCAGGTGGTTAATAGTTAAATATAAAACAATAGATTTTCTAAATCCAGGAAACCAAAGAATACCAAAATGAGTTGAGGACCATTACATAGCCTAGGCTGGTGAGACTCAAGACAACAAAACTGGCAATTCTTTCTAATCATATATTTATTGCAATTCCATTCAAAGTCCCCAGTGGACATCTTGCCCTTTAATTTCACAAGTTTGTTCTGAAATCCATCCATCAAGCGGTAAATTCTGGGGCCAACAGATAGCTTAATGGTTATGTCATTGGACTCCCATGTGGTTCGAGTCCCAAACCTGGTGGCTTAAACCTCGATGTCAGGCATGTGTACAGGTGTGCCCAAGATACCAAGCGGAGAATGAAGGAGAAAGGATTGAGATGAGCCATCCCCCTGGAAGGTGATTTCTCACTTTCTGTCTTTCTGTCTCTCTCTGTCTCTCTGGCAAGCACATGCACTTCAGAGCAAAAATCTCTTTTTTAAAAAAATGTAAATTCTTGGGATCAGCAGTCGGCATAATGGCTATGTCGCTGGACTCCCATGTAATTGACCGCAGTTCAAGTCCTGGACCTGGTGGCTTAAACTACACTGGGTGCGTGTGCGTGCCTGCCCAAGATCCTGAGAGGAGAATGGAGGAGAAGGGATTGTGGCATGGCTATCCCCACTGGGGGGTTATTTCTCACTCTCTGTCTCTCTCTGTATGGCAAGTGCACACGCCCTATAGCAAAAACCTCTCCAAAAAAATGTGTAAATTCTTAAGGACAGCAAAAAAATTATTGAATTTAATCTATTTGTAGAAACCTACCATATGATAATGATGATTCACACCAATAGAGGAAGGGTGGATTTGTGTTTATTAGAATAATTGAGTATATGTCAGTAGTAGTAAGGGAAGTGCAAAGTAAGAACACAGTGAACTATTTCAAAATTGTCATGATACTAAAAGCATCACAGTACTGATGACTAGAAAGATATGGAGTAGTAGGAATATTTATACATTGTTATTGGATACAATTGTATTTATCATAATTTGTCAATATCTAACTTGAAGATATAAATACTCTTGGATCTATTGATTCCACACTTGAACCTCTATAGAGTCTCTTCTCATGTTTGATGGAAATACACATGAAGGTCCACTGCAGCACTGTTTGTGAGAATGAAATGTTGAAAGCAATCTGCATAACCATTAGGCTGAATATAAATTAGAACACAAGTTGATATGAACAGCTAGAGATATCAACATGGATAGATCTCAAAAACAGAATTAATTAAACTGAACTAGAGAGTATTTTGTGTGAAACAGTACCACTTTTAATATAAAGTTTGACATGAAAATTATTTTCCAGGGCTAAATACTATATAGGATGAATATAAAAGTATTTATGAAAATAGTCATCAAATTAAGAACAGTGGTAACCTCCCAGGAGGAGGAAGAATTATATTAAGGAAAGGTTGCAAATTATTACTTATTTCTTCTAAAGGTAAGCAAATATAACCAATTCTAAAAATTTGATAAAGCTGGTTGTGGGTATATGGATTAGTTATTTTTCTTTCTGTATAATTAACACTATTTCACAATAAAAAACCTTAAAATGATTTTCCTTTGTCAGTTATTCCCTTACTGTATTGCAAATATGTCACTGGTGTTCCTGTATTCATCATTTACTTTCTTCAGAAAGAAGCTAACACGTAATCAACATCCAGAGGCAACAACTGTTAACAATTTGAAAACTATCCTTCTGAGTTTGAGCATTTTGAGAATGAAACTAGGTTTCATAAGCCTATTTAGTTTTCTTATGATCATTTTTAATGTTTACAGGGCCCCATTCTGTATGCACTATGATTTATTAATTAATTTCCTGTTATGTCCAAACTAAATGTAAAGAATTGTTATGGACCAAATTCTATCCTTTCTGAATTTGATTTTCTCAGATATTGAAGAGTGATCATTCTTTTGTTTTAGATCTGTACTTAATGGTAGCTATTATTTATTTTATAAAATATGAAAGAGATAGTGAAAGGAAACTGGGAAAGAAAAATGGTGTGAGGTGGTTATGGTAGAAGCAGAAGGTGAAGACTGAAATTCACCTTATATAGGGAGGTGCTAAATAGGAACAAAGATAAGTAGTTACTCTGGATTAAAATATGTATGCCTGGGAACCAGGAGATAGCATAATGGTTACATCACTGGACTCCCACAAAGTCGACTGCTGTTCAAGTCCTGGACCTGGTGACTTAAAACTCACACCAGCTGCATGTGCATGCATGCCCAAGATCCTGAGAGGACAATGGAGAAGGGACTGTGTCATGGCCATCCCCCCCCCCGGGGTGTGGTATCTAGCTTTCTGTCTCTCTGACGAGAACACATGCCCTATAGGAAAATCTCTAAAACAAAAAAGATGTATGCCGGTGGTGCCGTTTTCTCTCCAAATTCTTGGTTACTTTTTGCAAGCCATGGAGAGTGACTTTTATCTGCATTACTACGTGGGTCACAAAGGCAAGTTCAGCCACGAGTTCCTGGAGTTTGAGTTCAGACCTGACAGGAAATTGAGATATGCAAACAACAGCAATTACAAAAATGATGTCATGATCAGAAAAGAGGCTTATGTACATAAAAGTGTGATGGAAGAACTAAAGAGAATAATTGATGACAGTGAAATTACCAAAGAAGATGATGCTTTGTGGCCGCCTCCTGACCGAGTAGGCCGGCAGGAGCTTGAAACTGTCATTGGAGATGAACACATTTCTTTTACAATATCAC